GTAAAATCTCAGCCCATAAAGATCATCATAGAAAAAGTAGTGGCAAACTTAGGGGCCTTAATATATGGCAAACACACACAATGAAACATAAATTAAAATGCACAAACAGCAGAAGACAAACTACATGACTGGGACCTTCTAAAAGTTAAACACTTACATGGATCAAAAGAATTTGTCAAAAGACTGAAAAGAACCTATCCACTAAAAACAAACAAACAAAAAACCCTACCATTGCTACTGAGTCAATTCTGACTCATAGCGACCTCCCTTAGGTTTCCAAGACTTTAAATCTTTACAGAAATAGATTGTCTCATCTTCCTTCTGAAGAACAGCTGGCAGGTTTGAACCATCAACTTTCTGGTTAGCAGCCAAATGTCTTACCCATTGCACTGTCAGAGCTCCTAAAAGAACATACAGACTGGGAAAATTGTTTGGCAATGACATATTATGTAAAATCTATAGAACACTTCAACACCTCAACAATAACAACAAAGAAAAACAATCCAATTAAAAAATGGACAGAGGACTTCACCAAAGAATGCAATCAGACAGCTAACAAACACATGAAGAAATACTTGCAATCATTAATCATCATAGAGATGCAAGTCAAAGCAACAATGAGATATCATCTCACCCCAGCAATAATAGTGAAGTTCAACAAGACAGAAAATAATACATGCTGGTAAGGGGGAGCTCTGGTAGCATAGTGGCTAAAGGCACTTGACTACTAACCAGAAGGCTGGTGGTTCAAACCCACCAGCCACTCCTCAGAAGGAAGATGGGGCAATCTACTTCTGTAGTGATATGGCCTCGGAAACCCAGGAGGGGTCGCTATGAGTTGGGTCCGATTCGACAGCACATAACAACAACAACAACAACAACAACAAGGGTGTGGAAAGACTGGAACCCTCTGCTGGTGGGATTGGAAAATGGAACAAGCATCGTGGAAAGTGATATGGCACTTCCTTAAGAAGTTGGAAATAAAAATGCCCTATGATCCAGTAATCCCACTACTAGGTATATATCCTAGAGAAATAAGAGCTGTGACACAAACAAATACATGCACACCCATGTTCATCACAGCATTATTCACAATAGCAAAAAGGAAACAGGAAACAGCCTAAGTGTCCATTAACAGATGAATGGTTAAACAAACTATGGTCCATACACACAATGGGATACTGCACAACGTTAAAGAATAATGATGAATCTGCTAGGCATTTCATAATGTGGATGAACCTAGGGGACATTATGCTGAGTGGAATTAGTCAATCACAAAAGGACAATTATTGCATGAGACCGCTACTGTAAGTAGTTAAGAAAAGGTTTATACAGAGAAAGACTCATTCTGTGAAGGTTTCCAGGGGTGGGAGGGGAAGCAAGTGAATATCACCGACTGAAGGGCAGACATGCATTAACTTGGGTGAAGGGAATAGCAATAGACAATGAGAGGGAAGTCGGCACAAAATGATCAAGGCAGTGGAAGGCACGGGGGGAGCACAGGAGTTAAAAGCAACAAAGGTCAATACTGTTACATACACAATCCTGCAATAACAATAACACCAATAATGTATAAGTGGCTACAAAGATAGACAATCTGAACAGAGGTGGGAAGGTGGATGAGACTACACTCACGGATATATATAGGTTTGACAGATGCTATCTTTACTTACATATTTATATGTGCTGCAGATATATCCATGATATAGAGCATATAGGGGACAAAGTTATGAAAACATCTTGTTGTTGTTGTTGTTGTTATGTGCCGTCGAGTCAAGCCGACTCATAGCGACCCCTCCTTGGGTTTCCGAGGCAGTATCACTACAGAAGTATATTGCCCCATCTTCCTTCCGAGGAAAACATCTTAGTCATAATAAACACCTTGAGGGAATGAGTCACTGGCCTGGGGGCTCAGAACCATAGTCTCAGGTGACACCAAGGTCAATTGGCATAACAAATAAAGTGTTCTACATCATATTTTGGTGAGTAGCAACTGGGTTATTAATAGCTTGTGAGTGGCCATTTAAGGTACAACTACAGGCCTCTCCTTGTCCAGAGCAAAGAAGAGTGAGGAAAATCAAAGACACAAGAAAAAAGTTAGTCCAAAGAACTAAAGGAGCATGTGAACCCCAGTCTCCATGACCCTGAGACCAGAAGAACTAGATGGTGCCCAACTTCTACTGCTGACAGCTAGGAAAGGGAATCACAATAGGAGGTCCCAGATAGAGTGTGTGTGGGGG